TTCATAACCGTCTGTGTAATTTTACGATTATTTATTGACGAAACGATGATCGGTTTTTGATAGCTGAAGCACGAGGAATGATATTTTCTATATTTTCTAAACCGGTAGTCGGTGGCGCAGCTGAATCGATTAAACTATTGTTGATATTCGGTCGACTTGTATTATGTTGGTTATGATCGAACACTCTTGTCAGGATCTTTTCCGTATATCATGTTTTCGGAAAATTTTCACTCGACTTTTTACTATTTTCATTGGTTTCCGGATTTTCCGTGCACATCCGTTTTACCCGAATTTAAAGCAAACACAAAACTACAAAATAATAACGTAATGCAATAAAATAGGGAACTCAAATTACAGCTATATTTGACACTATTGCGCGTCCAATTACCACTCATGGAACGGAAGCATGGCCATTACGAAAGAAAGTTGACAGTATGGGAGAGAGAAGTTCTATGGAAGACTTACGGTACAATGTTGGAGAATAACATCAATGAGTGGAGGATGGGAACAAATAATGAGCCAGAATCACTTTTTCGTAATCTAACGTAGTATAGGTTGGGCATGCTTGGCTAGCTACAATCCTCTACATTGTATAGGAATATTATACGGCAGAGGCTACCAGAAAGGCCTCGATGAAATGGGAATGAATGGAGAAATGGGTGTTTTGTGGGATGGTCTTAGTGGCTAGATACTTTATGAAATAATGTGTATGTCTTGGAGCAACAGCTAACGCGTGCGAGAACAAAGAAAACAATATCGCCCTGACAACACGGTTATAATACGAAGTCCGGGAAATGGAATGCCGGGGAAGACACGTTCAGTTTTTCGGATTTCGCCGGTCACGGTTTCCGAAGAAACAACGTAATGTGTGAAGAAAATATTCTAGAAATCGGTAGGAAAAAGTTGTCTGACGTGCGTGAACCGCGCATTCTCAGCAAAATCTCTGTACCTGGTCAGGACGTAAGCTGAATTCCTATTCAAACTGAATAATTATATTATTACCATAAATAACTGTATACCATTAAATATTCAAATGAGCTCTCTAAAACACACCGAACTCCATACGCTGCGCTGCCGGAGCGAAACAAAAATTCAACACATTTTATCGTATGACGGATGCGTGCGTGTGTGTGTGCGTGCGTGTGTGTGTGTGTGTGTGTGTGTGTGTACACACCACACTTACAGAGTTCACAGGGATTCGCAATGGGAGGTTTGATCATATATCATCGAATCATCACATCGCTTATCAGTAAATTACTATCAATATTTTATTTTTTCAACGAATTATCAGGTTATATTGTTATTGTAAATGTAGATTATACGGACAATGAGTTTTCACGTTCCTAACAAATATAATACGAATCGATCGGGAAAAAAAAAAATGACCAACAAGAAGGGAGATTTATACCCCATTAACCGGAGTGCATCCATGCCATGTACCCGTCTGTACGTAAAGAACGCTGTCCACTTTTTTTTTTGTACCCATAAATCGTTTTTATCCGTGGTGAACGTTTGTAATAATACGTATACGTATAACATTTGAATCGTCGCGATCGATTGCGAACAATGTTCATGACGCTGCGTTTGGTTCCGGGGAAACAATATATCGTTCCGTAATCCGTTATCAAACTTGTCAGTTTTCCTGCAACGCGCATTGTTCAAGAGGTGAAAACCGTTTAGATACTCGTTTTATCGAAATGCGTTGACCGTGAAACAATCGCGTTCTCGAGTACGATGCACAACGTATTCCTCGGTAATAATTTCACATCGGTACTCGACAGTGCTACGTGATTAGTACGGTATGGTGATGTACTCGTTTCGCGTGTCACTTAATATCATAACGATTTGATGGCAGATGCTTCAACGCGTCGATATGAATATTATTATACCGCGACCATGTGGGTTTTCTAGGCAGGGTACTTTTCCATAGTGCGCGAGAAATCTGTTGTCGAGATGTTGTCTGAAGAAGGAAACATACAATTTCCGACCGTATAAAACACCAAACACTGTCCGCATATTAAAAAATCGTGTGAACGTGTGTTTTCAAACCCGATTCGTGTTCGTTGTTCTACGGATGTTTTTTTAAACGTGACGATTTTTTTTATAACATCACATTTGCAAATACGTTATGACCGGATTAGTAAATAAAATAATAAAAAAAAAAAAAAAAAACGCTATTATCCTCTATCATCGTTTACCCTCGTTCTAGAGCAATACAGTTCTTACCAATATCACCAATATCGTATTTCCACCGTGTTAATTACCGTCATCATATACGACACCGAGGATGATATTAATATCGAAAATGCGAACAAAACATTACTAGTTTTGACGTCATTGACAAAAATTTCGCATTGCAAGCCGATTCATCGTTTGGTATTTTCAACAAACAAAAAGCGCAATACAAACAGTATTAATTCTTCCGTTATATAACGTGAACCCGTTCACATTTATAATCGATTATACGCGATTCGAATACGAGTGTTTTTCGATTGACTTTTGTTCTTCTTTACGTAAACCGAGCGCTCCCGCCTAGGTTAAAACTTCAAATATAAAGCGTTTGAATTCCTTTTTATCGCTTCGGCGACGTTCCGCTTTTTATTTTCCGAACTTTCATTTTCTTCTCTTTTTTTTTATTTTTAATTTTCATTCTGTGCATAATCTCAACATTGTTTTATATTCTTCCCGTGTTTCTCTAGAATAACACGAATATTAAGATGTTTTCCGGCCGCAAAACAATGCGAAAAACTATTTATTATTATTTTTCCTTTTTAAAAAAAAAAAAATAAATTTTTCATCATCACTAGTGAACAGGAATATTAGGAAAAGGGAAAAGAAAAACATATCAAACAACATGCGCGTACTTAAATAGAAAACGAATGCGATTCACGTTCTGTCGTTCTTTTATCCATGTTCAGTGCATGATTCGTGCACGCAACAAAGGTAATATAAAGCTATAAGGTACGACATATTTACACGTGCACACACACACGTGTGTGTGTGTGTATGTATGTGTTGACATCGTTGATTCTCAGAACTAATATAATACTCGTACGTATGATTACGTTTGATTTACAATACGTCACTCGGATTGAAGCCCTGTAAAACCGTCGCTTGTAAATCCTCTCAGCTATACAACGCCACTGTTTCTTCACCCCCTCCCCCATATCGTTCTCTTTCTCTTATGTACTTTTCAAATAAACTCGAATCTGCTGGGAACCGCATTTTGTTAATTATTAAATTGATCCATATATAACTCCTCGTCTCTATAAATAAACTATTTAAACTCGTATTACCCATGGGGTTCCGAAGCAGTTCTGATCCGATTCTTAAATTAATGTGAATACTAATACTCGTACATCAGGCTGCGCACTCGGAGTTATATTAAGGAGCCATATCCAACAATTATTGGTGTTTTGGTGATCGCGGTTGCACGCTTATTGATCAATTATCGGGTGAAATTTTACGAAAACACGATTGATTTGTTTTCCTTGTGTTTCTGAACTATAAACCTCATCGCTTGTGATTGACTGTAGTGATGGGCAAAAGTGACTAATAACTACCGACTTAGTCGGTAGTATCAAATGACTAATTTAGTTACTCGAACATTTTTATTATTCGACTAGTTATTATTATTCGACTTACTTTATTATTCGACTAATTACCATTATTCAATTTGACTTTTTTTTATTATTCAACTGATTTTTATTGGACTGATTGCAAACTTTAGTATGAATTACTTTAATTCAACAATATAACAAAAATAATAATAATATAACAAAAAACATAAACATAACTAGGAAAAATAAATACAAATTTACAACTGTTTTAAATTTGTAGTGTGTGCGACGTGCGCCGTGCGTGTCATTATCGTTATTTTTGTTTTGACTATGTATGACTGCTGCAGTCAACTGCGGAAACAAAACCTTACCTTTAAATAGAATTACGACTACAATTTAAATTTCTTAGAATTACCGAGTTATCAGTTATTTTAGCCGACTAATTTTATTTATTCATATTAGTTGGTTGGAAAAAAATAGTTGACTAATTATTCGACTAATTTCTATGATTTGTATATAGCTGGTCGTGCAAATTATTAGTCGAATAATAGTCGGTAGTATCAAATAGTCGTTTCTGCCCATCACTAATTGACTGTTAAATTGCACTAGTTGTTTGCTAGGGACAATACACTGTCAAAAATAATTTTGTTGTTAAATTTTTAATATCCTACCGAAGTCGAAGGACGGAAATGAAATACAGCTCCTGTGACGTTGTATTTCATATAACAACCATAGTGATCATAATAATTAGTTGGATAAAGTATAGCAATTATTCATGTCGGTCAAATATCGCTAAGATTCACCGAACACTAATAGAAAAAAGAAAAAAAAAGGTTGATTGATAAGGGTTGAAAGTATCCCACTTGAGCGGGAGATCGTGTGGTGGCAATTTTACAGGTGATTTCCTCCCAGAGAACGTCAAAATTAGTCGTCAATGAATTATTGGAATTGTTGGAAATTATCACCTTAGATCAGTGGTTCTTAACCGGTGTTCCGCGGAACACAGGTGTTCCGTGGACTTCGTATAAGTGTTCCGCCAAAATTTTAAAATCAGTGAAAAAAAAATTTCTTTCAAAAATAGAATCATTTTAGGTTTTGTTGGTTTATTTTTGTACACAAAAACGTTATCGTTAACTTTCGAATAATATAATGTGTCAGTATACTACTATACTATATAATATATTAATATACATTATTATTATTATATTATACGATAATCTCCACCATACTGCGATAACATACGTATAGATATTGACAATTTTATTTTCTGCACTAATAAAAGTTATAAAATACATTAGTATTAGTACGTTGCCCACGGTTATCAACGTTAGATGCGTGTACAACTTCATAAATAAGGATTCTGTTATTTTTTTAAGTAAGTACAATTTGAAATTTATTTAGTTAATTAATTTAATTTGTAACGACCATTTTAATAACAAAATGGACAAATTTCTTAAACGGAAACATGATTCTAGTACTGATAGTGCAAGTACAAATACAAGCAATGTCAATGATGATACTTTCAATGATGAGAATAAAATAAAAAAAGGTCAATAGACAATATTGCAACGATTATTTAAATTTTGGGTTCACTTATGTTGACGAAAATGATTGTCAAATTCCCCTTTGTGTGGTTTGTGGGGAAAAGTTGTCTAATAGCGCAATGGCGCCAGCGAAATTAAAACGGCATTTTTCATCTAAGCACGCCAATCTCCAGTCTAAAGAAAAAAATTATTTTGAAAGGTTGTTGAATAATCAAATGAATCAAAGAAAACATTTTAAAAAAATTGTAACAATATCTGATAAAGCACAAATCGCATCTTATAAAGTTGCCGAAATAATTGCAAAACAGTTAAAACCATACACCATAGCAGAGAGTTTGATTTTACCGGCATGTTCAGAAATAGTTCAAATTATGTTTGGCGATGATGCAAAAAAAGAAATTATGAAAATTCCGCATTCAGACGATACAATAAAAAACAGAATTATACACATGTCAGATGATATTGAGAAAACTATCACTAACAAGCTTACTACTAATAAACTATATTTCGCTTTGCAAATTGACGAGTCTACTGATATCAGTGGTATAGCTCACGTACTAGGATTTGTTCGTTTCATTGATGAAAATAAAATAGTGAATCAATTTTTATGCTGTAAACAACTTACTGAACGTACAACAGGACAGAATGTTTTTGATTCAATTTCGTCATATTTAGATAAATTTAACATAACATGGGACCAATGTGTAGGAATCTGCACCGATGGAGCTCCTTCAATGGTTGGTTCTATTAAAGGATTTACAACATTAGCGAAGAAAAAAAATCCTAATATCATATCTACACATTGTTTTTTACACCGAGAATCACTTATTTCGAAAACATTACCTATTACATTAAAGTCTATATTGGATAAAATTGTAAGCATGGTTAACTTCATAAAATCGCGTCCATTACAATCACGCCTATTTAAAAAACTGTGTGAATCAATGGAAACTCAGCACGTATGTTTACTTTTACATTGTGAAGTAAGATGGTTATCGCGAGGTAAAGTTCTAAATCGAATTCTGGAACTTAAGAATGAATTGTTAATGTTTTTTCAAAACGAAGATAACACTGTTTTTATATCTTTTCTTACAGACGATATTTGGTGTGTTAAAATGGCATATTTAGCTGATATTTTTAATTATTTAAATAGCGTAAATGCTGGTATGCAAGGTAAAAACGAAAATATTCTTACATTCACGGATAAACTATTAACATTTAAAAAAAATATATCTTTTTGGAGAACGCGTATAATTCAAAAAAATACGGTAGACATGTTTCCTTCAATTAAAAATAATAATGAAATAATTCCTATTATAACAGAACATTTAGCATTATTAGAAGAAAAAATCACGAAATACTTTCCTGAATTAAATATTGAAAAGTATGATTGGATACGAAATCCATTTTCTACCATCAACACGTCAAGTTATGAATTTACGTTAGAAGAAGAGGAAGAATTCATAACGCTAACAACAGATCGAACTCTAAAAATACAATTTTCCGAAATAACAGTAGAAGAATTTTGGATTTCAGTTCAAACCGAATTTAAAAAAAATTCTGAAAAAGCAATTTCAATATTATTACAATTTTCAACCTCATACTTATGTGAGCTTGGATTTTCAACACTGACGAATATCAAAACAAAGAAACGAGAAAGGCTGACAAATATTGAAGAGGAAATGAGAGTAGCAATATCGTACATACGGCCAGATATTGAAAATATCTGTAAAAATCATCAGGCACAAATATCTCATACAAAGTATTCAATTTCAAATTTTTAAATTTTTTTTAACTCTTTTTATTATTTTATTATTTTTTAGTGACTAACACTAACATGTATGGCATGCAAACAATTTTATGCTATACATTCATTGTTTAATATATTAAAAAATTAAAAATGTATGTACTACTATTTTATTTTACGGTTATGTTCCGCGAAAATCTTGTAAAATGTTAAGTGTTCCGTCATTCGAAAAAGGTTAAGAACCACTGCCTTAGATAATACTGCAATATTATTAAAACGATAGAATGTTAACTAAACCAACCGCGTTTTTGCAGTGCCATACGAATGATACAATAAGTGTTCCGTTTGTCGTTTTTCAAATCCTGCTTACCACCACGGTTGACGTAGCGCGGGATTAAAACCAAAACATAGATAACACGTCACCGCTGATCCCTGGCAAACGTGGCATTAGCGGTGGCAAATGACGATAAAATAATAAATTGAAAATTAATCCCGAAACACGTCATACACGGTGGTACGCGTAACGGGCTAGTTTTCATTTGCACGATGCTATTAGTTTTTCGACGGACTTATTTTTATTTATTTTGTCGACTACGCCATCGAATAGCTATAAAACTCGGAGAAAATATAATATGTGGCATAAAACGGTCGTTAGACGTCATACGCGATGCGTACACGATCAGACGCAACGTAAGTGATTTGCACTTAATTGCTTACACTTTATAATTTATGTAGATAACTAGGTTTGAAGTCATTTGTAGTCATAATAATATAATACGTTATTTCAGTGTTTCAACTTGATTAGTGTTCTTTAATAATTTTATTTCGTGTAAAATATAACCTCGATTAATATGATTGAAATATTTGTTGTGCCATGACGCCGCGTGGTAAATCTGCTTACAACTTTATTTCGCATTAAGATCAACAACTGTGTTGTATGTGCATATAAAACGTTGTTAAATATAATCGTTTACAAAACTCGTGCATAAGTAATGATATGGCGCGAACATGATAAAAATAGTTTTCGGGGACTTTGAAAGTTGTTTTTAATTTCCGTTTTAATTCGTTTTTATTTTTATTTTTTATTAAATAAATCGTCACTTTTATAATGTATTTTCCCTTTAAAAAAATATATCTGTTCGCGGTAATTTATTTACTATTATTTTTAATATTTTGAATATAACTTTAAACGAAGTTTAATCTATACGCAAAATTTGTTTTAGATCCTTTCTGAAGTTTATAATAATCTTAAGAAAGTGAAAAATATATTCAAATATTTCCGAGCACTTACTCGAGATTATTGAACTTTTAACTTTTAACTGCTAATCGCATTTTAAAAAGACGATTTTTTCTGGTTGTATTTTTTTTTTTTTGAAAAATTTCCCTTTGACGAAATTAGATCATGGAAGATGCGTTCAAGACGAGTGGGTTTTCAGTAACAACTCAACTTTAAATTAAATAATGTTTGTTGTAAAATATTCCAAGTTCAAAACATTAATACATTGTGTAACACTGGCATGAAAGTGCTTGCTTTGATTGGACTAAAACACGTCTGAATATGGATGTGTTCGGAGTCACCTTACATCACGTGTGAACTCCCTTACGTTCGTTTTCTCATCACCACCAATTCAGTGATCGCGTGTACTTCGGAATTTTACTAGTCGTATGTGAATTACACATTTGTGACTTGTGTTTTAATTATAACTATGTCTCAACCCTGGACTATCTATCATATACTGCAGTGGTTCTCAACCTGGGGGGCGCGCTCTCTAGGGAGATGTAACAAAATTTCAGGGAGGGGAGGGGCGTGAAAATGTTGAAAAAGAAACTCGAAAAATGAAAACGTTGCCGTTTTCTACGCCGTGCTTTGCCGCTGTGTTGGTCATCATAGTTTTCGATTTTTTTTTTTTTTTATGCAAATAAACTAATTCAATACTAATAAAAATTTATTGAAGTTGTATTCTTATTAATCCAATGACCAATATTAAAGTATAGTTTACATATAAATATTATGCATACATAAATCCTATAGCAGTGAGAGAATGGGGCGTGAACTCATAAAATAGTCTTAAAGGGGGCGTGGACCTCAAAAGTTCGAGAACCCGTGGTATACTGAATGGTTGGCCCCACGATTTTGTCTTTCGTTAAGCTCAACGTGTCGATGATATCATAACAACACAATCTATGATAGATAATCATGTGATTTGTATTTGCGTATCATTTTAATGGTTGTACTACCGGTGCCCGTGTATAACGATTGTAACACGATTTGTCCTAATGTTCTTAATCCTATTTTACGTGATCACCACCCCACGTAATGGCAATCGTACGGATTTACGTTTATGTATGTTCGTAACAATGATAACAATAAGAGCAACGACGACGGTCATACTGCAGATCGTAAATAAAGGTCGAGTTTACGGTGTTAAATTCTACACCTTAGCGCGAACAAATACGAAGAACGTCGGACAAATTTAATATAGTTCATCAGAGTTAGATTGTTTGTTCGTGAGGACGACCGTTCGTTTTATACGAATTAAAATAATTTCAGTTTGTTCAGGGACGGCACCTATGTTGGTTTAGGACATACGTTTCGTGCATATTTATATTTTGTAATTTCGAATGTTTTCCATTTCGTAAACACTACGCGTCGGTGTTCCGGATTGTACGAAAAAACGATATAATACCGATAAAATATAAAATATAATTATTTTTCATACAACGTTGTGGTATTATGCCCAAAACTACATCAACCGTACCGGACTGTTGATTGAGATATACGGATTTCGGCTGAGAAAATAAATTATATTATATTATATAGGGTATACTTTAATAATATTATTTAATACTATTGTAATAGCATTAAATATTAATAGTAATAGTAACCATTAACCACCGTGGTGGCTTATTCGGCAATATTCAATACTCGAATGTAAAATCATGAACTGTTCAAAATTACATTTTATCCGGCGCGGGCTGTCGTGTGCGTACTAACATGTAATAAGTGTTGCGAAGATAAAAATACCATTGAAAAGAAGATAAAAAGATAAAGAAAACTGATCATTATTGAAAGCTACCGCGAACGAACGAAACTGTTTACAATAACAAACAGTCGCATGAAAAAAAAAAAATAAATATATACAATTAATCAAATGTTTTGAGAGCACTGTGCGTACAATTTGTTTTATTGGTAACATTATATAATGGCCTCGCAGTGTTTCGATGGCGAAGACGGTGCGAGACATACCGGTATAAATGATCGTGTTGCCGAATAAAATGCGTATTATATTTGAAGTGCTATCGATGTTGTTCATGACGTCGATGATGCACACGTTGTAGCAAGACCACGCACTCTACACGGTGCAATATTTTCGGATCCTCTAGTCCGTTGTCATTCCCTCGTGAAACCTTATTTATCGTCTAAGGATTTTTACAATAAGTATATTTTTCTTCGATCGACAAAAACATATTAGTAAAATTTCATGTTATTCGGGTATTTTTTCTTCGACCGTGTTTTACATTTAAAAACACTTATTTTCGTTTTTTCTATTAATATCCATTAGACCGTTAGTTTGGCAATAAAAATAGTGTGTTGTACGGAAGGGTTAATATTCTCACATCGTCCAGCGGTAGCGTTCTGCGGTGTTCTCATCCAAGACGCGTTCAATATATATGTAAATTACAATAAGAAATGATCACGTCGAGTGTTCCAGAACAAATCTAACTTTTCAAAGACCGTCTAGACACATAATCGTAATATTATACTGCGTAACAAAATTAAAATAAATTCGCAGAACGTGCTACGTGCATTGTTATAGAGAGAGCACGGCCGGAATCCTTAAAAAATAATTATATTAATCAAAACAATATATATGTTGAATGTGTTTTGTTCTTAGTTCGTTTTCCAATCGAATTAACCAAGAAATATATGATAACCATGCGTTTGCACACACAATTATATATGTTATGTATAAAAATAATGTGTTTGACGGTTTGTGTCTGACGGATTCCGAAATTACATGACCTATTTCGATAACATTAGGTACAGAGATAGACGATAGATTATACCTTGAAGAAGGACATAGTTAATTTTTGACGTAAAGAAAAAAAAGAAAAGGGAAGGATCAGTAAACCTGATGAGACTCGAACAGACAGTAGTTGTTTTGTTGTTGCGAAAAAACGGAAAATAACCCTACCGTCACACAACTCAGTGTGTGCCTAGAAAATAGTGAAAAATATCTATTTTACCAAAAATAATTACCAAATGCTAATATTTTATACTCCAAAAGTAATAATATCACCGTTATTTTTGATCTCTGTACAAGTGATTATTTTGCAAAAACTTTTCTGTATGACGAAAACACAACAGAAAATAATGGAAACGCCGAATTGGAGGAGGTCTCGTTCAGAATTGGCCTGTTGTCAAACCTGGATATACCTTAGGCCGAGTTTATACGGTCCGTTTTAGTACTACTAAGGAACGTTTTTGTTTGAGGATGTTTTTACATCGAAAGTAAACTTTGCTATTAATTCGATACAACCAGGCTAAATTACGATCGGAGGAATAAATCCCCATACGGGTTTCTATTGTTTCACCGATTAGCACTTAGTTAAATTAAAATTTTACATTTATGGTCTTTCAAATAATAAAAAACAGCTATAAAAAATAATTAAAACTAACCCAAGCGAAGCTGGTTAAAACAGTTAGTATATATATACAATACTAATGCATACTCGCCGTTTGTCGCAAAATTGTATTCCACGTACGTCCCAGCAGTGTTTCACGTAGGTGACGAAAATCAATCCCCTATTGTGAATATAATAATAATATTGTTTGATTAAAATTATATTAAATGCATTCCCTACGCGATGCTTTGTATCAATATTGTATATAAATATTTTTTATCTTATACATACAGCGTTATGCTTCGGGAAGTATGTGATGATTTTTATTGAAAATAGGTTTTTTTTTTATCCTTTTTACCTTATCGGTGACTCAACTTGTTGGCGACCAGTGTAATGCATCTTAAAAATCATCGGGTACGTACGGTATTATTTTGTTACTCAACAGGAAAACGTGCATTTCGTAAATTTAAATAAATAATTAATAACTAATACCAGATACACCTAACCACCAATCCCTCCTGTTCACTTTGCAACAACAACTATTAAAAATTAATAATTCACGCCTACAGTCAAACAAACTTCTTATCTAAGGCCTGCATTTAAAATGATTAAGGAATTCTTTAAAGAATAGCTTTCCCCAATACAAAAATTTTCCTTTTTTTTTTTTTTTTTACATGAATAACCTATGTAAATGGTCGCAATTAGATGAAAATAAAATTACGCAAATGTTTTGATGAAAACAGCCGCCCATTAGTGACATTATTAGTCAATACTCAATAAGTATAAATTAACAACTACTTTCTTTTTTTATGTATACACGAATACATCTGGATGGATGAATTTTTTATCTAAGATAATTATTTAAATAATATTCAACAATTTATCTGGATAAAATAAAAGATAACTAAATAATTATCTAGATAATTTCTAATAATTATGAAATAAAAATGATGTTAGTAATCACCAATTTAGTCAAATTTTGTCAGGACAGATGGAAATCGCACACATTTTCGGAATGTAGATATTGACGCGTGTTTCGACAACGTGTATTCTGTTCCCTTAACAATACAATCGTAATATATAAACGAATGTTAATAGGGGTGGTACTCCTTTCGCCCAAAAATGACCTTCCTCTTTTTGCCCACGTTCTCTTTTCGACCAAAAATGAAAAAAACAGTTTCCTCTTTTCGTCCAAAAATAATTGTATTCTTTTCGCACATGGTTTCACGTTTTACATTTTGGAAACCACTGTCTCAAAATTAATAATTTTTAAAAAAATCATATAATAATCAAATAAAAAAATAGAAAAATGTATAATTATTAATAATAATTAATAATAATTTAATAAGTGTTAAAAACAAGTATTTAAAATAGTGTTATCGATGTAAAATAACTAATAAGTTATTTGACCAGGTTACTACTTAAATAAATAGTTTGTTTTGTTGTTGTAAAATAATACAAATGTTCATATTAATTATGACTTTTAAGTAATTATAACGTTTATTAAAGTGTTTTAAACGATATATTTCGATAGAAGAGTCGGCACCTTTATACACTTTTCTCGACTGACTATATTAATAACAATCAAAAACGTGATTTTATCGAATATCAAATATGATTTTTTAAAAATTATTAATTTTGAGAAAGTGGTTTCCAAAATGTAAAACGTGAAACCATGGGCGAAAAGAGGAAACTGTTTCTTCATTTTTGATCTAAAAGAGGACGTGGGCAAAAAGAGGAAGGTCATTTTTGGGCGAAAAGAGTTCCGCCCGTTAATAGTCACCAGAACTTACAATGGGATTCAAATATAGGGTTGTGCCAAACCATTCCAAGCACAAACAATTCGATAATTTCAATCCATTACACTCCGTTAAATAATTCCTGTTCCTGTAGGTGCATTTCAAACAATTCGCATCACAAACGTTTTAACATTAAGTACCGTTAATACGTTTAAATACTGTGTTTAACCACTGTGGTTAGTAGTCCACTTAAAACTATCATCCAGTCATGAAAGCTATCCGTTTTTTTCCATTCGAGGCGGAGAAAACGTATCGGAAGATTACCTCGGCGGATCGTATAGATCGATGACGCTGGCTCAGAAATCTAAATCCGATACACGTCAACATTTCAACCCTCGAATGTTTCGTTTCAGCCTCTCTGCACGTGTCTGCCATCAATACAGGTATGTTTGGAGAACTTTGTATCACTAAATTTGATGTCTTTTTGGTTGAACCAACATTTTTTTATCAACATTTTCGAGAAAAAAAAATGGAATACATGACATTTTGAATCTACAATAATAAATAGCATAAAATTTTCTATGGAAAATTATACTGATTATAACAAATGGTTATAAAAGTATCTAAAATGTTCATTTTTGAATTATAGTTAGAAAGAAAATTCAATTTTGTCGAAAACCAGTATACCGTAAATATTGCCATTTTTTAAAAAAATTTCGTTGTTTTTTCACAATTATTCGGAAAACGGTTGAAAAATCTAAAAATGACTTCACTCAAAAATATCAACTAGAACCCATTTAATATCTTTTAATTTTTATTTGGTAATGATCAGAACAATCGTTCTATTCGAAAACATATACATGGATGCGCAAAAGAAAAAAAAAATATAACACATTACGGTAAAACAAAATAAATTAAATATTCGATAAAATAAGACGTGAACAGCACGATTTACTACGAGTATTGTAAACTTTTAAAGGCTTGTGGGCAGATTTTGGGCTTAATGCAAGTTATTCTTTTTTTTTTTTATTATTGAATAACAGAATATTTGATCGTGGATATCACCTGAAAACGTTTCGTTTTAAATGTTGAATTCGCGCGCGCAAGCGCGTTTATATTTACCACATGTTATTCTGAACCTCTTTAACGTGGATATTGTAGAGAAAATTCATGTCTGGCGAACGCATAACCGATCGTCAATTTCTTCCGCGGCAGCGACTGTCCTAAAAGGGAACCACAAAACGCATTAGATTTTTGATGCTTTGAAACAATAAAAGCAACTGTAAAAAAAAAAAAAAACCTCTTAAGTTCACTCGCATCGAGAATAATATAAAAATAAAACCCACGGTATGTATTGTTATTCCCTTCGTTATAAAGCGCGATGATATCGTACCATTACTTTGTACTACATAACACGCGCTCGTCGGTTTTCGTACTAGCCGTCTTGCTTATCATTCTACGATCAGATAAATATTTGCCAAACCCACGCGAGACCGACCATATTTGCGCGGTTGCTTAATCGTCCCGTCGTGTCCGCGACGATATCATCTCCAATTGGGTTTTGAACCTCGGTCGGGCCTTCTGACGGCGTGTCTTGAACATGCGTGTAATACTATCGTTATTAATACGTTTACGGAGATACGTTGCAACGCTGTGAAGTCCACAGCCGCGTCCGAAAACTTCCAGCCGGCCTGAACTTCAAAACAGGAACGGTTCGTACCTGCCCTTACAACACACTGATAATAGTGCAATCAGCGGATACGGGATTTTACATGTTTTCCATAGTCAAGGAATCTCGTAGCACACACGTATCCCTCCCGTACAGCGTTGCAATTTCAAGAACCGTTACGAAGAGATGCGCGTCGTAATAGTACAATCGTCGTCGGTCCAAGCATAATGTTACGGTACTGCGTTTATTTTTTATTTTTTTCCTCTACTAAACCACTGAAACGCCTGATCCTTGGACACTTGATCGTTCTCCTACCGAAAGCTAAAATAACAAAAAACGAGCTCCCAAACCGCGGTTGCGATAAGCGAAATAACGAATTTTTACCGATTCGCGGACCAATAGCCCGACATCCGATTCCGCGTTGGGAAATATTAATCGATCCTCTCGAATCAAGGACTCGAGTGTCTGTGTGATTCATACGGACACGCATCCGTGAAGACGTTTTTATCCGGACGGCGTTCGTCTGGCGCGCGCGACACACTATCCGTCCGCACACGCAGTGCCGTAGCATGTGGGTAGAGGGAGGGATAGAGGTGCCTACGCCCCGGGCGCATTTCTTTGAAGGGTGCAAAAATGAAAAATTTGCAATTTAATTTTTATAAGTCATAACTTATAACTTATGAGTAAATGTAATATTATGCATTTATATATTTACTTATAAAACTCATAAATATAATTATGTTATACACATGCACCTATTTATAATGTATATTTACATTTTAATAAGTCATTGATTTAAATAAAACTAACAAACGCTTACGTAATTATAAAGAAAAATCATCATTTAAATTGCGTTTAAAAAAATATTCAGTTTTTTGTGATTTTTTTTTTATATAAATTAAAATACTTAAGGATGCATTTTGAATTTTCGCCGATTATCTGCGAGCTTACTATTCGCTGTCTTCCGCGGATACAAACATTTATATCTTTACATTGTAAATCATTATCGGTTTAATTGGGTTACGATAGCCGATTACGCGATAACGCGGATTGTATATTACATTTGATCTAATTTCGCGTACACTTATTTAGTCTTCTGTCTACTGTACAAACGCACGTATCGATTAAAACTTCATATTAGTGTTTTAACGTGTTTTGCGTAATTTTAGTTTCAACATTTTTGTCAGCGGATTATCCGCGGAATTAGTTTATCCGTGAATGTACTGCCACCCTGTTCCGCGGATAATCGAGAGTACACTGTATTTGGTTAATACGGCCCTGCGCACACGTACCACCGTTCGATATTTACGTGTACGTGTTCGCTCGACCGTCCCTCGATGCAGTCTCATCTGAACCCGAGATGTTCCCGATATGATGACGCTTTTGCCGTGTTCCTCGTGTTTATCGCGCTCGCACCGCCTTACCGTCGGTCGTCAACTGTTCTCGTCCCACGTTCGAACGCGTACCCGGGCCCTCCCTGGAGACGCGTATGACGTGGGATTTCGAATGCTCAGCACGCGGCGAACAGCGGTCTGACCGCATAACGCTGTGTCCAATGTGAACGCGGCAAAGGCGTTGTGATGCGGACGACGCGGCGAATAAAATTCTCAAACATATAAATATAGATTAGATTGTCCAACGTGCGCGATAAACGCAGGTGACGCGAACGAATTGATTCGTCCGCGTTCACCGCACGGTTTGAAAATCAAATCGTTTTATTTTCGGTCGCGCGTTTAAGAGAACAGACGTCAAAATATTTCTATTACGATTTACGATTTATAATTGTAAATGATTTTTTAAAAATTTTTATACGACTATTTTATGATACGAATAGGTAAACGGGTAATATATATGTTATTAAATTATAATATATAGTGTTTTAACTATGATAGTATTATATATTTGTATATCAGATATTGTTGTATGATCAATATGGATCTCATTATATCTGAGGTACAAAAAATGAATGTGTTCTTTGGAATAAATGCAATACAAAGTATATTAAATATTTCACTTCAGCGCTTTTCAACAGGTATTAACAATTGTTTTTCAAGACTAAAAGACGTTTTTTAGTTGTTTTTGTTTTTAAAAGAATAGAACATAAACGTGTAACCTTTGCACAACTCACTTCAAAATACACTGCATGTAAAAAAAAGTAAAAAGTATCTAAATACGGTTTAGTCACAAATTCGCGTTCACCGCGTACACGTAGGACACGTTTGCGAGCGGTGAATGCGGCTAATTCTCCCAGTCGCCGCACGCGTCATTCCGGGGTCTCTCAACGTTCCCGTGTCCGGACGTTTTTCGCGGGTCCGCGCAACGTTTCCGACCGATTCGCGACCGTGAACGATGTCATTAAATATGAATTTGATCATAATAATCATTATTTATTATTCTATCGACATACGAGGATTGACCGCGCTTACAGTCTTATAAACTTTCACTGTATTGTTACAATTATTACTACGATTGTTCTCTGAACGATTTACAAACATGTGGCGAATATGTACGTTTGAAAAATTGTTTTGAGCGTTTTTGATTATGAATGAGGCTTATATTATAATATGAAGCCCCTTCAGTTCCCAAAATTCTGCCTGTTTAGGTTATACGTTCAAGGCGTTAAGACGGAGCGTTGCCAAAATAATTCTTGCATTGAGCGTTGAAAGAGCTAAAGTTGACCCTGCTCTCCGGACTCGGGACATTACCCATAACACTGGTACGTCGCATATATGCGTTTTTTTCCTCCGCGACAGTGAGCTCGTTGTTAGAGCTCTTGGACGCGCACCGGACGAATTTCGAAGGAGATGTGTGCAGCGATCGGCTTGTACGGGATCAAGCCTGTCGCCGTGATCAGCTTTCTGTGACGTTTCTTTTATTTATTTATTTTTTATCCGAATGGGAATCGTAGATTATTCAACATTGTTAAGACGAATCTCACAATCTCCCGTGACACACGAGGGCACAAAGAGCCCGTAAAACGTGATTATTTTTTCCCCGTCCAGTTCAGCTTCTCTGTTGAAGCGCACAAATACAACTGTCCGTCCAAAAGTGTTAATGGTTCAACAATAGTTTGTGGACAAATTTGTCCTCGTGTAATACACATCCCGTACAGATTTATTAGTCCGCGAAACATCGACGGATAGTATTGTTTGGTAATCGCTTTCGGAAATTCAAGTCTAAACGTAATGGTGAATAAATGTACGAGAATCACCTATTTCGAGGTTATGAGCGAACATTCGCGTTCGAATGAAACCCCTCTGTGGGGCTAATGGGTTTTCATGAGGAACTTGTTTACGGTACACAGCCGAAGCGCACTAAAGTACAACTGATTCGTTCAACATAACAGCGAGAATCGCAAACTCCGAAACTGGCTGAGCGAAAAAGACCGCCACCATTCCGTGGAAATGTCCCGGGCAGTGATTAGACAGCAATCATCGTGTCCCATTATGATAATTATTTCAATTACTCGGCTGTACTATTATATATTGTTTATTATATTATTATTATTATTGTGTTATCACTATAATATTATCTCTTTGCTGTGATTCTCTACGAACCGGACACGGAAATAATAAATAAGTCGTTTGTTCCGTCTGAGCGTCGTAATCCGCTTAAAAATCACCATCAATCGGATGGGACATGGTTTATTAAAAACATTTCGTCGAAACTCGAAATTTTGGTCTGTCTTAGATGCGTGTAATTCGTTGGGAGTTCTACGGAGGGGGGGGGGAGGAGAAGAATATCAGAACCCCATTCGGTTCGAATATCGTATTTTTACGCTATGTACCTACCGTAAACGTTAAATATTTCAAACTGTCAGTACGTATTGTTACGATTTGAATAAATACAAATTGTAAATCACGTTCAGAATGACTACTAAAAGCAGTACTGACGATAAGTACTTACGACGATTCGAAAGCTCTTTTATGTTGATAAATTATCTGGATGAAAAAAAAATTATCGTTGTTCCGTCCGTTGCGTTCAATCATGTTATACGCAATTGTATCGAAAACCCATTGGCTGAACGATCGTTCAACAACCGCGGTAAGCAATAAGGATAAAATATGTTTTTCCCCGTTCGGAGGATTTTCAGCAGCAGTACCTTCAGCAGCATGTGTCGCGTATGTACTTTACGTCCGTCCCTATACGATACACGAAAAGCTACGTTTCCCGCACAGCGGGCAAGTATTTATAAACAACGATACCGTACACCTATAACGTAGGTGTGTACGTATATGCGCACGTGGTGTTAAATATTTCATATATATATATATATATATTACTACTTATGATCTCGCAAACTTTTTGCACAGATACACCATACTCCCAGCGAGAGTAATGTACCGTTCAATTAGTTCGGAGTAAACACCGTGGAATGGTGAGCGGTTAAGTACCCGCTGTTTTCTAAAACACACTCGGATGAGGAATCATGATTATTATTAATATCCAACTCGTTGCTCGGCTCGCGTTAGTTTTTCTCCCTTTTCATCCCTTCTTCTCTTCTCCCGACTCCCCTACCCCTCTCGCTATCTCCCTTTCTCATCCCGCTATCTT